TATTTAATTTCTTAAGTGATTCAGTACTTAAATTCTGCCTTTTGTCACTAAGAAGATTATTATAAACTGAAAAGCTATACTCTACTGCATTAGAAGAAATTGGCAATCATATATAATCAAATGCAATTTCACTTAAAAGAGGTAAAGTAATTGACATTTTTTCCCAAAAAATTTGAAGATTCGAATAATCTACCTCAATTAAATCTAAATTACAATACAAAGACCATTCTTGAAGAAGTGCAATAGAAGGATTTAATAGTTGCGGAATATCAAAACAATATTTTTGAATATCACGATTTTCCAAAGACATTTTTAAATAATGTGGATCAAAAATCTGAACTGTCTTAAAAAGCGAACGAGAAGGATGATTAGAAAAATAAACAGAAAATTTGTTAAATGCTAAAGTAAATACAGATTGAAAAATTAGAATAAAAGTAGCAAGTTTAGTATTATATTTTAAAAGAATTTCATCAATTTTGTTACCAAAATGTGTTGCAGTCATTCCATCCATAAGAAAAACTTCGAGCTGCTAAATTCGTAATTTAATTAAAGAAAAAATAGGCTCACGTTTCTTTTGAAAAAAATCAGTATCTAACATAAACTAGTGGGAATAAAATGAATAAAAGCTAAGTATATTTCTATTAATCCATTTTTATTTTTATCATTAAAAACTGATATGATATCTTTAATTGTTTCATTAGATTCTGATTCATGCTCTTCTAAATAAAACCCTCTAATATATTCTAAATAATTATAAACGTAAATTACCATCTTGAGCTATGAGTTCCATCTTGTCATATTCAGTAAAGGAATAAATCATAAAGTCAATTTTTGAGAATCTTGAGAATTTAAATTATCATCTGCATCATTCTCAATTTTATGCTATTTAAGATAATTCATATATCCAGATCTCCTTGCTTTAGCATAAATCATAGTTTTTTTAATATTATTAATTAATTTGTGCACTCCATTGAAATGATAGTTTTTTATCCATGCTTCACTAAATAAATTAAAATTATAATTAGCTTAAATATTAATTACAAATAAATATAAATTACTAACCTTATTAATTGAATAATATGTGCGCCACATGTATTATGTCGAACTTGTAGCATTACAGGCTGCAAAACTTCTTTAACAGACTTTTTTAGATAAGAGGCCGAATCAGATATAATAAGATATGAATAGTTAAAAGGTATTTCCCACTCAACTAAAGTTTGAAGAACCAATTGGCCTACTGTAACATTATTTACTTGTGACATAAAATTAACTGAATTAACTTTGTTTTGTTTTAGTAACTATAAAGGATATTCATTACACTATGGGCTTTCTTGTTTGTAGTCTCATCAATTATAATAGAGACAGGTTTTCCACAAAACATTTTTTGAAGTTGTTTGTAATATTGCTCAAACACGCCATTTAAATGATACTTCCAAATACTATCAGCCATAGGAATAGAGCCTCCTTCTTTACAGTACTTTTTAAAAAAACCCCAGAGCTTGTTTATTTTTTTGATAGGAATATCTGCTTCTACTCAGGCTTTTACTAAATCATTAATTATTATTATTTTTTTATCAGCAATCTCCAATGTTGTAGGAAGAGATTGTTGGCGATCGTTATGATTAACAATAATATATAAGCGACGGGCATCTTTATGAGCTTTTGAGTTTATATATGTAGTAACTGTAGCCTTATTTTTTCATCCAATGCTTATATTGCAAACCCGGCAAAAAAGTTTATTATCATCTACAAAAAGATCTTTGGAAAATTCTTGTGATTGCGAATAAGGTGTAACATGTTTTGATCTTCCCATTCTTGTATTGTTCCTTAGTCCTTAGACTGACTTTAATGTTCTTTTAGAAAATTGTTTTTAGGTTTTTTTTTCTCTTTCAGAGCGAACTACTAATGTAATTCTTTTTTCAAAATTAACTTAATTTTCAACTTTCAAAACTGATCCAATTTTTTTCACCTTCAGAACTCAATTATCCACCTATAAAAACTTCAAGAACTAATTAATCTTTCCCTTCTTCAGAACCGATCCAATATTTCTTTCCTTCAAAAAACCAGCCTAATAATTTTTTCCTTTAAAACAACCCGAACTTTTCTAATGCTTTATTTCTTTCAAATAGATTCGATCTTTTATTTATTTTATTTTATTTTTTTCATTTTTATTTTTTTTTTCTTTTTATTTTTTTTTTTTTATTTTTATTTTTTTATTTTTTTTTTATATTTATTTACTTATTATTAGTTGTTTTTTTTTTTATTCTTTTTTTTTTTTAAAATGAATGTTATTTCTTCCTTCAGGATCAAATACAACAATTTTAAGCTTTGCTAATAGTTCTCTTCTTCAGAACCAACTTGATCTAAAACTAGTACTCTTTCAAAGAGTGTAGCTAACATTTTTCCCTCCTTTAAACTAAACTACTAGCCTCAAAGCCACTTCGGTTTCTTGCAAAAAGCCCTTTAAAATTTTTTTTACTAATTTTTTAATTTAAACTAAATTTTATGCCAATATGATTGGCTTAAAATCATGTGATTATGCCGAATTCCTGAAACATTTGGATTTACATGGGATATGTTTAAATATTTGGATTTACATGGAAAATGCTCGAATATTTGGATTTACATGGGTAAATTTGAATCCAAATTTTTCCGTGTCCCTGCCATGTACACTGGATGCTGTGCTATGGCCCTACCTAATATCTGGAAACTCCCTTAGTTGTAATCTTAACATAAAAAATTTAACTTTAATTAAACCAACCTAACAGTATCGATATACCGGTAGCACCGGAAAAGAAGACTCCACCTTGAAAAAAAAAGGCTTTTTGATACGTACAATAAAAAGATTTGCCATCAAACATCTATTGGGGTTGGTTTACTATTTTGTTTTTTTGATTATAAAAAAAATTATGCTTACTCGAAAAATATGAAGTAATGAATTAATCACATTATTAAATTATAAAAATACATAGTATGAGCGCATCATTTTATCAAAGATGGATATTTAAGTCGATCATTTTGCTAAAGCTACGTATGCGAGAATACCAAGGCCGAGGTATTTAATTTTATTTAAACCAAACTTAGTTTAATTCAAAGAATGGTACGTCCGTAATTACTTATTAAATTCTTTGTTAACCGAAATTATTAATAAACATAAATAAATAAATTCATCAATGAAATTAATTATACGTAGTATATACAGTATATTTTTAGAAAAATTTCGGCAATTTATTAAATTATATATATATATACATAAATTGTAACTATTTGTTACTTTGAATTACAATAAAATAGAAAAGGAAATAGATATACTTTAAGTAGTTGTTTATTTTTCATGTGTCGAAATAATCGGAATATGGCAAAAATTTTCATAATTTTTTCCTACTAACCCAATCTTAAATATGAATTTGACCAAAAAAATAACAATACTAATGAAAATCACATTCTACAACATAATCTAGCAGCATTATTTTTCTTCAAACACCAAGTCCGCTAAGATAGCATACTATATATATACTATTAATAGCCTAGTAACTTAAACAATAAACAATATTTTTGTTCGCAAAAAAAAAAGCATCTATTATAATCATTATCAAGTTCGAATTCAGAATCTGTACTATTGTAAAATTTGATAATATATATATAAAAAGAAAAAAAAAAGCTATACAAAAAGGGATAGATCATAGAAAACAATTTTTGCTAAACAATAAAATATATATATATATATAAAATATAGTAATAAAAAAATATAAAAAAAATAATATTTATTTTGTAATTATCGACCAGCGAGTGGCTAAAAAATAATTAAATTATCATTGTGAAAAATCAGGGAGCATAATGTTCCTAGACTTTTCAAATTATCATCTATAAAATATCCCACCAACCTTGAATAGTATTGGCTTCTTTTTTTTCTTTTTTTTTTAAAAAAAAACAATGTTCATATTATGGGGAGGTATTTTTTTTTTTTATTTTTTGAATCAAATTCCAAAATGATTGACTATGAACTATCTTCACTACTATTTGATTGGACAAACAGTTTGGCATTAACTGCAGAAGCAAGATCATCGGAACTAACACCTGCCATCTTAGCTTTTTGGAGTTGTATCTGTGAATTTGAGAAAGCTTCATGCACGTACATGGATGAAACTCGTGATAAAGGATATTGTTTATATGAACCAGTTGATATGAGTTCTTGCATAGCTTTTTCACAAAATATCTCAAGAATTTTTTCCAACTATATAAATAAAAAAAGAATAAATAAATATTGATTAAAGTTAAAATCACAAAAGAAAATAGAGGAAAAAAAAAAAGATATAAGATAACTTACGTGAGCTTTACCCGTATTTGTCAATTTGACAACTTCTGTTACATTAATATCGTCAAATTTGATATCGAAACGGAATCTAGAAGCACTATATATTATAATTGAAAAATAATTAATGAATAAATAATTAATTAATGAATGAAATATTTAATAAATAAAATGATAAATGAATTATTAATGAAATACAATAAATAAAATCCTTACGCTATAAAGAATTTTAAATTTTCAGTTGCACGATAGGTTCTTGATGTGTCCTCATGTATCTTATCGATAAAACCGAAAGGACGTTTCGAACGTCGTACTATTGTATTGTAAATGACGCAAAGTAATTTACCATCGCTATAAAATTATAATAATAATAATAATTAATATTAACAATAAATACAGCGTAAAAATAAAAATAGATAAAATCAAAAATACACACGCTAAAGAAGCCAAAAATTCAGTTTTATCTATAGAAGGATCCGGAAGTGGAGTATAACCAGGGGCTTGTTTAGACTTTGATGGGCGATGAGCTTCCAAAAAAGCATGATAACGAGCTAATAAAAATTTGATGGTGAAAGAAAAATAGATGATAAAAAAATTAAAAATAAATAAATAATAAAAAATTTAAATAGATAAAAGTATAGTAGATAAAAAGGATAAATACCAATAGTATTACCACCAAAATTATCAGGATCCACCCAATCACTATTTGGGTGACCAGGTGATAAAGGAGGAGTTATTGGAGCATCATTACCCTTCCTTTCTTCATCAGTTGAAGTTCTTAAATAAGAAACATTATGATAAATATCTTTATCATCAAAGAGTAAATTATCCTCGACGACCAATAAATATTTTCTCAAAATTTCACGTTGACTATCTAATGATCTATAATTAGATTCTTTGTATATATGGCCATCTTCACTGCTACTATCATCAGTGTCATCATCACGATGTTCTTTTTCTAAATTACTAATCATTTCAAGAACTTCTAAAGCAGTAGCACGAATTTTAGAAAGAGCATCATCAGAAAGATCTTCTTTAAACATTGAATAATTTTTTACAGATTGAAGAGCTTTTGTAGTAGTTTCAATAGCAGCCAAAACATCCACAGGTACAGGATCAGCTTCAGCTTTTACTTCACCAGTAACCATACACCAAGCATCTAACATTGCTTGAATATCAGCGTGACAATTAGCCAAAAGGACATCAGGATCAGTTTCAACATCCAATTTATTAGTGATGAAAGAAGGGAGTGGAGGGGGAGAAGGTGGTAGAGGAGTAGGGGGAAAATCATCAGGTTCTTCAGTAATATTTAAAAGGTCAGACATATTTGTGATTACACTAAGTTTCTCAGCTTCTTGTCTAAATTAAGATAAAATTGTAAAAAAAAAATTGTTAACCAAAAATGTAACAAAAAATGTAACCAAAAATATAAGAAAAAAAATAATAAATAAAAAACGTACTTATTTTTTGGTTTTTTTGGTTTAAAAATTATTCCTCTCTTTGCATAAAAATGTTGTAAATGAGTAATACTACCCAGAGCTAAAACAGATTGACGTTTTTTAGCACTTTTAGCAAACTCTCGAGGTTTAGCAGGTTTTTTATAGCCACGTTTAGGAGACCCAGGTGTTGGTAAAGTGAAACCTCGATTTATTTGTCTAGGTTCTGGATCTGTACAAGACGAGGTCGAGATCGTTGGTATACTCGAGTGTCTTGGAGGAGTATTTTCCGGAGAGTCAAATGGAGAATCCATGGGTTATTGTTTTTTTTTCTTAAAACTTATTTACCACTTTTTTTTTTTTGATTACGAGAGTACTAATTTTTTAAAGTTTAGGATTTTCAAAAAAAATCTTATTTATTTGGATTTTATATATAATAATAAAAAAAATATATAGTTGATGAAAATGATAAAAATTAAAAAGAATTAAAATAATAACTAGTATCCTCAAGTTGTAGGTTGAATTGATATAATACTAAACTTGTATTAATGAATAGTATAAAATCAAGAAATGTTAATCGAAAAGGAGGAAAATAAAAGGGAAAATATAGGGATGAAAGAGAAGGAGGAGAAAGGAAATTAAGAGAAATAAAAGAATGACAAAAAAAGGGTCATGTAGTTATTATAAAATATTTTCTTACAGTCGGAAAAAATTGGGTTATACATGTTATAAAAAGTATTAAGAGGACTTGATGACCCTAAATGCATAATTTGACTTCGTTTAAACCCTCAACGAAGTGCTTGTTTGTTTTCTTTCCTAATTTTGACAATGTATCATTTTTCGGTCAATATAATGAAGGTTTCACTGATGATTATCTTGAAGTACGTAGTATCGTTATAGAAATTTTTAAAGACTACGTACAGTACGTATAATTTTTATAATTTTTCAATAATATTTTCCAGTATTCGTATATTCTTTCAA